ACAGCAGCAGCAGCAGCAGCAGCAGCAGCAGCAGCAGCAGCAGCAGCCGCAGTTATCGGCTGAGGAGCTGTCTGCAGCACTGCGAATGATGCTACCAAACTTACCGCTGACGCAGCAGAATCAGGTGCCGCGGCAGCAGCAGTGGCAGCAGCCAGCGAGGGGAGACAACGCTCTTAGTGCTCTAGCTGCTGCTGCTGTGCGGCAGCAGCAGCAGCAGCAGCTACTTCTTCTGAGGCAGCAGCAGCAGCAACAGCAACAGCAGCAACAAGACTTGGTAAGACTGGCTTATGCTTTTTCTGTTCATCTTCTGCTTCAGCAGCGAAGCTGCTGCTGATTCTGTTTCTGCTGCTGCAGCCGTTGCTGTTGCTGCTGCTGCTGCTGCTCGAAGTATTGCTGCTGTTGTGGTTACTGCTGTACAGTATCCTTGTGTTTGTGCTTTGTGTCTGCAGCAGCAGCAGCAGCAGCAGCAGCTGGAGGCCCAACTGCGTCCGCTGCTGCAGCAGCTGCAGCGAGGAACTGCAGACCCAGCACTGGGTCGGGGAGCTGCTGCGATGCAGCAGCATCAAAAGGCACTGGCGCTGTTGCGTGCAGCTGCAGCACAGCAGCAGAAACAACAGAACCAGCAGCAGCAACAGCAGCAACGTAATCTGGTCCTGCAGCAGCAGCAAGCAATACAACAACAACAGGAGATGCAACGGCAGCAGCAGCTGCGACAAACCCAGCAGCTGCTGCAGCTGCAGCAGCAGACAGAACTGCAGCGGGATGGCAGCTTGGACGTACACCTGCAGCAGCAGCAGCAGCGCCAGGCGTCATCAGCAGCATCAGCTGCTGCTACTTTAATGAACCTACCACGGGAAGCTCGTTTGCTGCTGCAGCGACTGCAGCAGGGCGANTTGCAACAGCAGCAGCTGCAGCAGCAGCAACTGCAGCAGCAACAGCAGCAGCTGGAACATGACGAGGTGCAGCAGCAACACTACAGGGGACCACGTTCAGCAGCAGCATCGCAGCAACGGCACGGTCTCAGGCAGCAAACTTGGGATAGCGGGACTGACAATGAGCAGCAGCAGCAGCTTACTCGACAGCAGCAGCTGCAGCTGATGCAGCAGTTGCAGCAGCAACACAAGCAACACCCGCAGCAGCAACAGCTGCAGCAACAGCACCTACTGCTTCAGCAACAGATACAGCAGCAGCAGCAGCAGCAGCTGCAAGGGCAGCAGCTGTTGCAGCAGCAACAGCAACAGCTGCAGCAGTTGCTACAGCAGCAACAGAACCAGCAACAGCAACAACAGCAGCAGCAGCAGCAGCGACAGCACCAGCAGGGGCGTAGGCCAGATGCAATGAATGAGAAATGCTGGCAGTATATTGACCCCAAGGGAAACGTGCAGGTGGGTGCTTCTGCTGCAGCAACAGCAACACGAGCAGCAGCAGCAGCACAGCTACGCAGCAACTCCTTCACTGCAGCGGCGAGGCGGGGAGGGGCAAATACCTAGGAGAATAAAACAAAACTAGTTAATTATTTCAGTATAAAATAGTTGATTGTTTTTAATAGNTGAATAAGATGTACCCGCCGCCAGTGAGGCCTTTCTTGATGCCGCCGAAGCCCCAAGCAACAGCAGCAGCTGCTGCTGCTGCTGCTGGTGGCTTCGGGGGCAGTAGTGCAGGGCCGCCGTCCGCGTCCAACACACCTACAGCTGCGGGTGCTGCTACAGCGCCACATATAACGG